GCTGCGGCCAAAGCGTACCGGCACGACATCTGCGGTGAGGAACTTTTGCTCAGCGTGTCGCGGCGGCGGCCTCGGCGACACGCCATGCCCTCGCAAGCTGATGGCGTGTCGCTCGGCTCCGCCTGGGCGGGAGGCTGGGAGAGGCTCGGGACGTGGGCAAAGGTGTCGCGCCGAAGCGAGTTAGGCCAGAACCAGCGTCGCGACACGCAGAGCAAACCTTCCTGACCGTATTGATATCTAGAGCACGTCGAGTACGAGAAACTGACACAGCCTTGCACGAGGCCGCGATGCGTGGATAGTTCTGCCGTCAGGTGCGAGCTTCAATGGCGCGTGAAACGCTGCGCTTGCTTCGCACCATGGCTTCCAAAAACGGACTCAGGATCTGGGGAGCGGCGGTCGTCCCACCAGAGGTGCAGCATATATCAACTTCGGCCGACAAGCACGCAGCATTCTCAACGTCCGCGATCTCTTTGTACCCCTTCTGGCGCATACCAAACGTCCGCCCGCTCCAGCGTGCTATGGCTTCCATGGAGAAACAATCTGGGTCCCACCTAACTTCAAGCATCGCTCCACGCGATGCGCGATTACCTTCGCGCAGTCGCGCACTCGCGCCACCCCCTTGCAGAAGGGCAACCGCTTTGGTCAAGACCGCGACGCGCGAAGCGCGCTTGTCTTCGTGCCCCTGCGGGTGACCTAGGCAATGCCTTCATCAAAACCATGGCACATCTCCCGCACGGACGCGGGGACTCACGCCTTGAAGTGGCTGGGCACTTTGCAAGCTGCTCACTGTTCTGCTGTTCAGGCGACTGCTCTGACGTCACAGGAGAGGGCTGGAAGTAGGCGGCGCCTGCCATGGCGCTTGAGCTGTCTGCCTTGACTCCTGCTCCAACACCTACTCCCACTCCTGCTGCCAGTCCCCACTCTCCTGCCTCCAGTTCCTGCTCCTTCCCCTGCAGTCCACCCCCCTACTTTTCTCCTGCTGCTGTTCCTCCATCTCCCCTCTACCTCCTTCTCCTCCCCCCCCCTCCCCCATCCGCCTCTTCTTTCGGGCGCCACTCTGGGCGCGATCGATCGCCCCTCCGTGGCGCTCCGACGCCTTCTCGGCGGGGAGGCGATCGAAAAAGGAACCGGCGGTGGCCGATGGCACGACCGTCCCGCCAGCACGATTAGCCTGTCGCCGTCTGAGCTGGGCACTTCTCCTCCTCTTTCTCCTCCTTAATCCCTGTATCTTCAGGATATTCGTCGTCAACCTCTGCCTCGTCCTCTTGCTCTCCCTCTTTTCATTCCCCGACCCCGCTCCCACCAGGGGGGCATCTGTGCCCATGGCCGCACAGTGCCTAATCACCGAACGGTAGAATCGCTTGCATACCCGAACTAGCCAGATCGAGTTTCACCTTTGGCGGATGGGAGTCGCACTTGGGAATTTGGTGGTGTTGTACAGTAACAAATCTTGCTGCAAGAAATTTTAGAGCACATTTTTCGTCGAACTCTGAAAGGCCGAAGGTGCCCTCGAGCCTATGCTGTGGGTCCTTAGGGCCATAAGGCGGTGAGAAATTTCCATGGGGCACCTGCTGGCAAACCGATTTCTCTTGATGTGTCGACTGCACATCGAGTCAGTCGACGCCGCCTGCAGACATCGGGCACGCGTCACTGAGTCGATCAAATCGTGGACACGCCCCCCCATCCACGATCGTCGCAGGCGTGACCAATCAGGCGCCCGCACGTGCGGTGGCAGCAGGCCGCCGAGCTCTTGCGCGCATCGACACGTCGCGCGGCCGCACGCATCATCGCGCTGAGCCGCGCCGATCGGCTCGTGGGCGGCCCGGAGGTGCGCTGCCTCGCGCGCGCGCCAGCGCCGAGGGGCCGCATGCTGAGAGGCCCACAAACCGCTCGGTTGGAGAAGTAGACGCCGGCCGCGTCCGCGCCTCGGATGCGCCGCCCAGGCCAGGCCGATCGCGCGCGGAGGGATGACGATGATGATCATAATTGTGATGATGATGCCGATGACGATGGTGATGGTGATGGTTGTGGTGACGATGATGATGAGGATGATGAGGATGATGGCGGTGATGATGCTACTGTTGATGTTGAGTGTACGGGTAGTACTGATATTGATGATGCGGATGATGATAATGCTGATGATGCTGCTGCTGATGATGATGATGATGGGGCCGCGGCTGCTGATGCTTCTTATGATACTGCTTCTTCTTATGATGATGACGTTGTTGTTGATGATGATGCTGATGCTGCGGATGATGACGACGAGGCTGCTGCTGCTGATGTTGCTGGTGTCGACGATGCTGGTGCAGCTGCTGCTGCTGCTGATTGTGATGGCACGGATACTGATGCTGCTAACGTTGCTATTTCTGTTGCCGTTGCCGTTGTTGTTGCTGCTGCTGTTGTTGCCGTCCTTGTTGTCGTTGTTGTCGTTGTCGTCGCTGTCGCTGTCATTGTGGCTGTTGCTGTTGAACTCTCACTTCGGAAGAATAATTATTGTTGATCCCCCTCACCGGTGCATATGGTTTTTCTCAATCAAAGTGAGCCCCTCGACGCTCGCCCCTTGTTTTTTGACAAGGAACATTTTCCTGGTCAAACTGTGCCCCTGGCCCCCCGGACTACAACAACAACGGCTCCCGCCTGAGACTTCCTCCAAATATTTTCAGGACCCCTCCCTCCCGTCTGAGACTTACTCGCAATTTACCCAGGAATGGCGCTCCCGCTTGAGACTTCCTCACAATTCAGTCCGGGTCAAACTGCGTTGTTGCCCCCCTGGGCTACAACAACAACGGCTCCCGCCTGAGACTTCCTCCAACTTTACTCAGGACCCCCGCTCCCGCCTGAGACTCCCTCCCAATTTGCTCAGGATCGGTGCTCCCACCTGTGACTTCCTCGCAGTTTAGTCAGGACGCCCCCTCCCGTCTGAGGCTGCCTCACAATTTATTCAAGAACGGCGCTCCCGCTTAAGATTTCCTTGCGCTTTCGTCTAAACCCCCGCTCCCGCCAGACATCCCCTTTTCAGGAATTGCGCTCTCGCCTGTGACTTTTTCGCAGATATTCAGACATCGCGCTATCTACGCTCAGGCATCACGCTCGCGCCAAGGACGCCGTCACACCTCACTTAGGAATCGCGCTCTCGCCCTACTCAAGCATCCCGCTTGAATGTCCCACCCGCCCGACCCGCCCGTCAGAGGATCGCCCGCCCGTCGTGGGCTGCCGCCCGAGGCTTCCTTGTGGAATGGCGCTTTCGCCTAGGACTTCTTCCAACGTTCACACTCTTACCTTCCTGCTCCTCCCTCCTCCCGGGCCGCCTCCCCCCTCCTTCCGATTCCCTCGCACGTCAGCTGATGTTGAAATTTAATTCCTGAAGAATGATTTCTGTTGGTCTCCCCACCGTTGCGCATTGTTCTTTTTCAATCAAAGTGCGCCCCTCGACGCTTGCACCCTGTTTATTTGACAGGGAAAATCATCCGGGCCAAACTGTGCCCCTGGGCCCCAGGCTACAACAACAACGGCTCCCGCCTCAGACGCGCCCAGTGAGGCCCCGCCACGCTGCCCACAGAGGCCCCAGCCGCAGCCCACAGAGGCACCGATCGCGCGCACAGAGGTCCCACCAAATTGCCCACTCAGGCCGCAAAACTAGCCCACAGAGGCCCCGAACGCGCCCACGGAGGCCCCGCCACGCTGCCCACAGAGGCCCCAGACGCAGCCCACAGAGGCCCCGAACGCGCCCACAGAGGCCCCACCACGCTGCCCTCTGAGGCCCCAGACGCAGCCCACAGAGGTCCCGAACGCGCCCATTGAGGCCCCACCACACAGCCAACAGAGGCCCCACCACGCTGCCCACTGAGGCCCCAGACGCAGCCCACAGAGGTCCCGAACGCGCCCACACAGGCCCCACCACGCTGCCCACTGAGGCCCCAGACGCAGCCCACAGAGATCCCGAACGCGCTCACAGAGGCCCCGCTAAAATGCGCACTCAGGCCGCAAGACCAGCCCACAGAGGCCGCGAACGCGCCCACGGAGGCCCCGCCACGCTGCCCACCGAAGCCCTCGGCGCAGCCCACAGAGGCCCCGAACGCGCCCACAGAGGCCCCACCACGCTGCCCACAGAGGCCCCAGACGCAGCCCACAGAGGTCCCGAGCGCGCCCAGAGAGGCCCCACCACGCTGCCCACTGAGGCCCCAGACGCAGCCCACAGAGGCCCCGAACGCGCCCACAAAGGCCCCACCACGCTGCCCACAGATGGCCCCAAGCCCAGCCCACAGAGGCCCCGAGCGCACCCACTGAGGCCTCACCCACTGAGGCCCCAGACGCAGCTCACAGAGGCCCCGAACGCGCCCACTGAGGACCCACACCGCTGCCCAGAAAGGCCCCAGACGCAGCCCACAGAGGCCTCGAACGCGCCCACAGAGGTCCCCTCTGCCGACTGAGGCCCCGAACGCAGCCCACAGAGGGCCCCAGCGCACCCACAGAGGCCCCTGCCGCAGCCCACAGAGGCCCCGAACGCGCCCACAGAGGTGCCGCCAAATTGCCCACTCAGGCCCCCAAACCAGCCCACAGAAGCCCCGAACGCGCCCACGAAGGCCCCGCCCCGCTGCCCACTGAGGCCCTGGGCGCAGCCCACAAGGGCCCCGAACGCGCCCACAGAGGCCGAGGCCCCAAACCCAGCGCAAAGACAAACCCAGCGCAAAGATGCCCCGAACGCGCCCAGAGAGGCCCCACCCCGCTGCCCCCTGAGGCCCCTGACGTAGCCCACAGAGGCCCCGAACG